AAAGTAAAGCAAATTACATAATAAGGATTAGTCATGTCTGAAAACGTTAAGTCTCATTCTTGAGTCCATCAACTCTCTAACAGGATTTGGGTTTCTCCTAAGTTTTCATAAATTCTTTTTCAGACTTTTGATGCCCCTCAAAGGAAGTCGATTATACTGAATTAAAGTAATTATATTAAGGCAGTTAGGTAGCACAGTGGATAGGCTATCAGGTGTAGAGTCAGGAAGATTCATCTTCCTGAGTTCAAATCCAGCCTCACACTTACTAGTTGTGTGACCTTGGGTAAGTCACTTAACCCTCAGTTTCCTCATCTGTAAAATGAGCTGGGGAAGGAAATGACAAACCACTCTAAGATCTTTGCCAAGAAAACCCCATGCAGGGTCACAGAGAGTTGGACATAATTGGAAAATGATTGAAAAAAATTATTAAATTAAAAAAAATCATGGACCCTCAAGTTAAGATTCCCTGCACTTAACTGGAGGTCTTTAAAAACAATTTGGATGACCATTTGTTGGGAATGTTGCAGTGGAAATCTTTGTTTTGATGCTAGTTGAGTGTTGATGATTCTGCTTACCTGATCTATTTGCTGTTCCTCATGTAGAGTATTCCATGTCTTATCTACATGCCTTTGCACAAGCCTAGAGTGCTTGCTTTCCTCATTCTCTAGGGAATGGTCCCTTGAAGACTCACCCCAAATGACACCTTTTTTTCCACCAAATTTCTCTGCTGTTTACTTCCACCCCATTCCCACTATTTACTTGGTATAATATCTTTTACTTATCTTGGAACATGTAGTGTGTCTCCTCTCCCTTCCCTCCAGTAAAATGTAAGTGCCTTGAGGGCAGGGGCTAGTTCATTTTGATCTTTATATTCCAAGAACCTAACAGTGCCTGGAACATAATTGGCACTAAATAAATGTTTGCCAATTGGCTTATTGATTGATTCTGTGAAATTCCAGTAGCCTTTCTTAGCAGTGCAGTAGGTATTCTGTCTTAAAAGACTGTCTAGCTTCAATAACTCTTACTTTTGAGTTCAACCATTTGTATATCTGCCAAGTGTCTTTTTTTAAACAACTCACTCATAGCTTTGGAAATCCAAGTCTTCTTAAGGATGAATTTAGACTGTGTCTATTTAATTAAAGTAGTCTTTGTATCATGTTATTGAAAACTCTTCAATCACATCAACCTGCTATAGTGTAGATGTATGGAAAATGTATGTTTCTTACTATTCATCCTTGGTCCTCAGTTTCTATAGGAGATGATTTTTTTTTTCATTTTTTAGCAGCTCATTCACTTTCAGGGCTTAGATCTCATTCTTTTTTTTTTGGAAAAAAAACAAAGAAGCAAAAATGTATGTAGAAGTTTTTATTATTGTGCTCTTAGGAAAAAAAATAAATACAGAAAGATTGTAGAAGGAAGATAGGTGAGAAATCCACAAAGAGTCTCGGAAGGGTTCTGTTATTTTTTTTTTAAATCAGTATGATAAAAAGAGAAAATATCTTCTACATATGTACTGTAATGAAACCTTTTGGGTGATGGTATCATTCCAAGTCGTTTTTGTGGCCGTCTTTTCTCTCTCAAAGGTGCAACTTCTGTTCCCTCGTTTTTAGACTAGAACTATGGAAGGAAAACAATTCCAGCTGAACCTACTACTTGTTAACCCACCCATGCCCTATTACTCTTTGAGCTTGGAAGTAGAGCAATCTGGACCACGAGCCCAAATGGGGGCAGCTTTGCTTCATTCAGTTTTAATTTCAGGAGAAAGACCATGCAAATTGAGAAAGAAGTCAGGAGAGGATTTTAGGTTAGATACAGGTAGAACAAAGTATTGGTTAACAGACAATGAGGAAGGGACAACTCAGAACCAACTGAAAAGTTCGAGCCTTGAACGCAAATGTCAATCAGTGATTGAGACGATGAATCACCTTCCATAACCTAGTTTCCATAATTGTCAGACTCTAAGAGTGAGGGATGAAGAAACTAAACAAAGAAACAAAAGGATAAAAAGGAACCAAGCATGGAAGTTAGAAAAGCTCCATACTACATCATTTGCCAATCACGTGAATAACTCCACAACTAGGATGTTTTCTATACTGATGGCCCCATCTTAGGTGATGACATTTCACAATGTATTTCATGGCTTCCATCCCTACATGAGACTTTATTACTATCACATAGGAATAAAAAGCCATAAGACACTAGAGTGAATTTATCTTGACCGGATGCAATAATTATTTTCTTCACATGATTTCACAACCATTTCGAAACTAACCAGTAATTTCATGCTACGTTACTTAACATTTCAAACTACATTGAAGAGACAGGGAATACACTTAAATTGTGACATCACAAATTAGTGGGACTCGGGCCCTCAGAGACATCCCTAGCTACAAAGACCAGGGAAACAAGGACTAGGGGACACTCAGAAACACGTAACCATTTGATTCACTGAAAACAAGGGACACCAAAGGTGAATGTCACAAGAAAAAGAGATTCACTTCAACATTTATCTCGGAACACACGAGGAAAGACAAGAGACAAACAAGTCACTGGTACAGATCGATACTTGGAGAATTGTTTTCTAGTCTTTTACTGTGCTTCACATCTTTCCCATCCTCCCTAACATGCCCGCTGCCACTGTAGAGACTTGCCACTGGAGATCGGGGGAGAGGGGAAAGCTCAGCACCTCTGTGGCCCTATGCCATGGAAGTATGAAGCCAGCTTAACATAATTGGGGGAAAAAAGATACCAAGACAGAGCTCAACCAGTAGACCAAAATGGCCAACTATTCCGTATGTCCACCCTAGGACAGACTGACACCATTTTTTTTTTATTGCTTTTGTATCCACTGGAGCAAATATTCTAAATAGGTCGGCTAAAGTAACATATGAGTCCTCCTGTCATCTGTGAAACTCCAGGTCCCAAGCCCAGTAGTTCTTTATTCTTTATTAATGTTCTACTGCTGCTGCTATCCTTGCTACTCTTGTAATTGGCCATGCTGAAATACAACTCTCTAGGGTCATTCAAGACCCAATGCTATCATTTAAAATGCCTTCTCTGCCCTTTAGAAAATAACATGGTTTGCATATTTACCAACACATTAAAGGGCATTCCAGATTGGAAAAACAGTTTTTTACAGGAAAAAATTTCCCATTCCTCCAATTCCAGTAAGATGAATAAGGAGCCTGATTTCTCAGACCAAACCAAGTTATTTTCATCTCCTCACTACTATCTTTCCTAACCTGTCAAATATCTCGGTTATTGTTATTAATGTTATTATTATTATCATTACCTTGGCTTTGCTTAGGTGGAGAACATAGGAACGAGCAGGAAATAATTAAATGAGAGGAAGTGCATAAATAAATTCAATTATCATGCATGAAACATGCAAATGATTTAAGGACTGCATCTGAAACTCTTAGTTTATATTCATTAATCTCAGGTTGCACTTTTGAGGGAGAAAGAAATGCTAATTGGGTCCAGATTAATGCACTCCCAAACCTTTCAATTTGTTTTTAGGTGAGGGTTAAATGATATGTATTAAAATAAACACAGCTGCTCATCTTCTTGCACCTTTCACACGCCTCCCCCACATTTCCACCCGCCCAACCATACTTCTCTCTCCTTTGTTGAGAAGAGTTCGGAGAGACCCCACATTTCCCCTGGGAAGACCCCTCCCACCTTCTGCTTTTGCATCTTTCCTTTCTTCGCATCTACCTCCCTCCCCCAAAAGCCTCTATCAGGGGTACCATGCTTAACTGCTCCCACTACGTTTCAAAGGACGTCCAGATGTAGCAGCAGGGATGGATGAAGGGACAAAGGAAGATTTCTTCCTGGGCCAGCAGGTAGGGAGAAGAGCTGAGCTTTGTCTAGGTTCAGGCCTGGGCTGTTCACCACCCACTCTGATGAATGGGTTTCAAAATATCTGGGGGCATTATTGCTTTCAGCCAAGGTTCTCCTAGGTTGGCATGGTGATCCCATGGTTCAGTAATGTGAGAAACTGGAGGCAAGGGGGGAGACCTTGGGGTTTTTTTTTTTTTTTGGAAGGGGGGGAGGTTTTGGTTGTTGTTGCTGGCTCTTTGGATCCAGTCAGCCAGGAGAAACTGGCAAAGAGCAGACCGGACGCTGAGCCAAAGTTCAATCAAAATATCTTTTGAAAGTAGCCCCTTGCTTTCCTTCTTTCTCTTTTCCTGTCCAAAAATAATACACTTACAAGAAGGAGGTCTTCAAAAGTTTCCATTAAAGCATTATATACGTTGTGTTATACTTTACAAAAAATACATTTTATATACTTTAATACAGCTGAGTTTAACTGCAAAAAACAAAGTAGCTATACAATGTTGTGCTAGTATACAGAGGCAGCCAAATGTTTGCCGTATCGACACATATTTGTATATAAATGTATTTTATATGGAAAAAAACTTATTCTAGTTATATAAAATATTATGAATGCATATATTTTAAACCAGGGGCAATGCTTTGAGAGACAAGCAGATGGCAAATGAAGAATCCTTCTTTTGAGAAAAGTAGACACAGAATCAAGGGCCTGGGAAGAGGGTTTAATAATAGAAAGTGAAAGAAAAACCTCTGATCCCAGACCTGATCATTAGAATAAGAAAAAAGAAATGGAAGACAGGCTGCAGGCAGCCAGGGATGAACTTGGGCCTCAGACTGGAACAGAGTTCAAGGGAGCTTTCTAAATGAGCACAGGCACAAAGGGGTTAAAGCAGGCAAACAAAAGACAGGCAGTCAAACCAATTTCACACTGAAACTGATGTTTAATTGGAATTGTGGTCCCCCAAAGGGAAGGTGGGGTAGGTTAGTGTCCTCAGGGGATGTCCCCCCTCTCTCCTTTAACATGGATTGAAAATTAAGATTTATCATTAATTATCAAGGTGACACGCACCTTTTCTCCTTCTCCCCACCCCCCCAAAAAAATCACACCTTTGGTCCTTCCCCAACCACTCCCCCCACCCCAGGTCAGACAAAACCCACCTGCTATCCAATCCTCCTAACATATTCCCCTAAGGAGGGGACGAGGACATGAACAAAGATACATATATACACATGGAGACATAAAGTACTAGACAAATACTCAAACAGATAGACAAATACACACAGCTAGTGGCAGTCACTGGCTTGGGGTTGTCGCTCAATGAGATTCTGCTTATTTGCAAACTTGTCCTGAGTAGAAGAAAACCACAACAGGGCCCCAGAGCCCCCATTTCCTATGGAATCCGTCACTATCCCGAGAAATGCTTGGAGAGAGACAGAGCTTTGGTTAGGAAACACACTTGGGATATTCATTGCTCCTAAAAGAGAGAATGATTATACAGTAACTAAACCCTAAGTAAGAGCTAAAGATATTCACCTCATGAAGCCATATCTCAACTAGCCCCTTGGCACTTGCTGGAATTATCTCAGCACGAGGCCCACTTTTTCATTTTCTGCTGACTCCATGTGGGTAATTTCTTTCCCATGATTAAAAGTGAGCTTGGCAAGCCCTTCAAAGCATTTTTTTTAGGTGTGGTGGGGCTCAGGAGCGAATCCTTTGTCTCACGAGATGCTGGCAGACTGTCTGTGATCATCACTGGACGGGCAAGGGAAGAGATGCCACACCTAAAATGATTTCATAAAGGGGGAAAAATGAACTTTGTGGATATCTTCGTATAAACATATTTTATACTGATCTGTACAACTGGTAGATGAAATGAACTGTTTACCTTGGAAAGGAGAGTCTTTTCTTCTCCCAATAAGCATTCAGGACTTTCTGAATGTCATCCAAAAGTGATTCTGCCTCCTCCAACTTATCCAGCATCTGGGACTGTGAGATAACCCTCGTGGCCCTGGCCCCCTTCCCTCACTCCTCATTATTAGCCTCCTGGTGGGTGAGATAGAATACAGTGAATGTAATAACCATACTTCACACAACAGGCCTGCTCTCTCTTTTAAATTGAAAATCCCCTTATTACAAAACAAGGGGTGTTTTTTTTTCTTCCACCTTTAAGTAGGAATGCCACATTCATTGCTTTTTACAAAAACGCAGCTGCTTTTTAAGCTACAGATAAATAGAATCTGCTTGGCAGTAATTCTCTACTGAGTCTGAATGCATTATTTTCTAAGACACTATGGTGAGGGGCTTTTTATTATCAACTGGAATGAACAACCAAAGTCTTTTTCTCCTTTAATTATGACTACTCTTTGTTTCCCACTATTCACCTACAATGTTAGATTGATTTTCTGGGTTTTTGTGGGGGTTTTTTTGCTGTTTTTTTTTAACTGCAGCCAGTTAAATAAATCGATGTATTCCCCCCCTCCCGAACCCCTTAGGAAATTAAAGGACTAGTGATTAAGATTTCATGGTCTCTGATGACAAATCCAGAAATAGCACAAGAGAAAGTCTACAGCAATAAATAAAATGAATGAAGAGATCTTCTGGTCTATGGGGAAAGGAATTTTGTTTTGACATCAAAAAGTAAGAAAAAGTGGGTTTTAATTGTTAATCAAAATGTAACTGATTAAAATCAAATTTAAAAACTGAGTATATTGTCATAATGAGTTGATCTTACAGTATCTATTTGGCCAAGAAGTTGTTAAAGATAAATGGAACCTGAACATTTCCAAATGTAGTACAGTTAAGTGTTTCCTTCTGTCCAGCGGTGCCTAGCCTAGCTTTACCTGTGCCATCATCATTTTACGGAGCAATTAAACTAGGAATGAGATAAGAAGAAACATTCTGATAACCCTTGTTCATGTGAGGCTATAGCAGATATAACTTTTTTTCCCTCAATATAAACTGTGAATAAAAGATTGAGTTTCTGAGAATGTCTTTTTTTTTTTTTTGGTGAGGCAATGGGGGTTAAGTGACTTGCCCAGAGTCACACAGCTAGTAAGTGCTACGTGTCTGAGGCTGGATTTGAACTCATGTCCTCCTGACTCCAGGGCAGGTGCCCTATACTCTGTGCCACCTAACTGCCCCAAGTTTCTGAGAATATCAAAGATAAATTCAAGCCTGAAAATTCCCTTTGTTGAGGTTCTCGTTTAATTTTTTACTTTTTTTTAAGGCAATTGGGGTTAAGTGACTTGCCCAGGGTTACACAGCTAGTAAGTGTCAAGTGTTTGGCCTGAGGCCGGATTTGAATTAGGGTCCTCCTGATCCTGACTTCAGGGCCGGTGCTCTATCCACTGTGCCACCTAGCTGCCCCAGTCTTGTTTAATGTTGTTAAGTCATTATTTTTTCTTTCTGAAACCCTCAAAAAGTCTCCAGTGCTTTTGCTCCATGTATATGGAAACATATGGAGATTTTGTTAAAGGCAGGGGAGGAGAGGAGGGATGAAAACCCTACAGGATGTTGATAGGGTTCCAATCAGGAGAAAATAAATACTGCTTCAGTCTTGACGGTAAATCAAAATTATCAGGATATCACAGAGGTGTAGGCCGGTTCACCCTGAGTAAATTGAAAGATTTAGAGGTTGTTCTCTCCTAGCTTTCCTCAGTGGAGTGGATGTCTCCAGAATAGGTGGATTCATATCTATTTGTATTATTTTAAATCTCTTTCCAATGGGAGTGACTGTAGATGCCAAAGAAAGCATAGGGAGTCCTACAAAGCTTTTAAGTGGGTGGATTGTATAAGGCCACAACCATATTCAGAGAAAGAAGGGGAGAAGTTAGGAGAGGAAGGAGAGAGACAGAAAGAGAGAACACTAATCTTGTCACACTGTATTGAAAACAATACTTGCATCTTCACCCGTGCCATATAAGACAATGTATCTGCTGTGAGGGAGATGTTGCCGCCATTTTGCTAAGCTCCCAATAAGAGTCAGTCTATGAATGCAATGAACAGGGGTTGAGGCACCTTTGGATGTTCGCACACTGGTTTCAAAGATGGAGCCAGTCTCTGTCCTCTCCCTCTCATCTGCTTAGCAAACGTGTCTCCCTTAGGTTGCCAGTCTCATTTCAGGAGCCCTCTCAGGTAAAGTAGTGATACAAGAAGGCTAACTTACCTGGAATCAACACCCAAGGCCCTTCACCAGGAACTCTGCATATTTAGGACTGCTGGAAGGTGAGCTCCATTATGAAGCTGCCATAGCAATCGAGAGAGTTTGTTTTAGTATTTAGCTTTGGTTCACAGGAAGCTTTAAAAAGAAAAAAAAATAGCCTCTCACAAGAACTTGTGGAGAAAGAAGGCACAGTGAAAACCCCATTTCAACAATGACTGGCATTTGAAAGTGCTTTATGGGTTTTCGAAGTCATTTAAACATTTATTTTCTTTTGATCCTCACAACAACCCAGAGAGGCAGTTGCTACAGGTATTATGCCCATTTGACAGAAGAGGAAACTGAGGCTGAGAGAGGTTAAGGTCATACAGCTAATAAATGCATAAGGTGGAATTTGAATCCAGGTCTCTCCCAAAGCCCAGGCTAGTATTCCTTTGAATATACCATGTTGTTTTCCACGGGCAAGGATGGTATAGGGTAACATGAAGGAGAAACATATTTAGATTGAGAATTAGGGAAATCGGAGGCAAGCCCTCCTTCTGTCACCAAACCTTGGACAAGTCAACCCCTTTAGACTTCATTTTCCTCATCTGTAAAATGAGAAAGCTAATCTAAGAATCTCTTTTACCTCTGACATCCTATGATTCTAAGTATAATTTGAATGCTGAAGATGACCTACAAGAATAACACTTTGGCTATAGTCTGTGCAAAATCTATTCAGCCTAGTAGCTGCTTTTCTAGCATTTTTTTAAATTAAAAAAAAAAGCAACAGTTCTCTACAAAGACAATTCTCTTCTTAGGGAGAAGGAAGCTATAGGAAAGCTCTTCACAGATTTATTGTTCGGTCATCAAGTAGCAACTGTCTATCAACTTTTCTGATTCCTTTTTCCTTTAAACATGCATAAATTACCACCATTCACTGTTTCTGTTTCTGTACACTGACTTTGAAAACTATGACTAGTGACACAAGACATCATCACACATATCTCCCCTTATTAAGATTTCATTCATTTATTCAGCACCAGCTTGACACAATGTATAGTTCTAGGCACTAGGGGTACTCAAGGACAAATAGCAGATGCTCTCCTGCCCTCAGGGCATTTGATTTTCGATGCAATCATCCCTCTCACTGTCTCACTTGAACTCCTTAATCATACACTACCAAGGAAAATAAAAATCTTGGAAAAGAATGGGGCTAGAGAAATGGCATGTCTCTCCCTTGTTTTAAACCATTTGTTTTCCCCTAGCTGCAGGAAGACTATTTGCTCTCTTACCTACTCTGTCCCTAGAAAATGGGTAGTTTGTAGCAAAGAGATCATTGTCTCAAATTGCTACCACCAAAAGTAACTCCGATGCCCCACCGAAGTGGGTGGAATAAAATACCTATGTGGCCATATTCATTTTATAGGTGAGCCAAGGGCATCACGGTCTGGTAAAGCCAATGAAATGATGCTACCTGGTGATTAAAGAGAGTTAAGCTGTCCAACTTTCCAATTTACTACCAAGAAGTGACATAACCATGGACGTTGAAATCCATTTCCAGTTAGGAATGTTGCCTCGCCATCCCAAGTCCCAATGATTAAATTGCACACTTATTATCTAAGTACATATCACATACATCCCGTGCCATTCATTGAGTTAATGAAACAATCTATTTAATCATGGCTCCTGAAACTTCCAAACTGCCCCATCTTGTATGTAGATACCAAATTGCACTGCAGAATGATGGAAATATCTGACTTTGCATATTACAGAAACCACTTACCTTTGCTCATCAGAGTACCTGTTCTCCTTGTTCATCCTGTCCAAAAAACAAAGCAGTAGATTTTTAGGTTGTGATCACAAAGTTCGATGGAATTGTTGGGGATAAACTACCTATGGGTATTTTTTATCACACCCTCTTTCACAGAAACATTTCCATCTCTCTGTGTACATGCTGGAGCATGCATTTTTTTTAAATTAATGCCATGAATAGTTTAAGAAACCAAAATGGAGCTTTGTTTAAAAAAAACATTGATTGTAAACAAAGGCACAGTCTCAATGAGTTTCTCCAGGTGAACATCTTCTGATGATGCCTTCCCTGTTTCACATTTTTGTTTTCCATGTAGAAAAGTCTGGAGAGGAAAAAAAAAGTGATTTTGCTATAAAAGAAAATGGTTATCTATAAAATAAAATTAGTCCAGGTTTGATCAATGTATGACAAGATTTCAATATTTCCATATTTTCAACAAGGGAAAAAACCCCAACTATGACAAATGAAAACTGAGTCAACTGGAATGACATTTTCAATGTACAGGGTAATCATTTTCAATGTAATTTACAAGGTTCAGAACAATCTTCAACAGATTCTAATATTATAAGCAGCAGAAACAGTAGCAAACAGCACACCATATAATACTTACTGTTCTTGGGAGTGAATTACCCAAACTTTTGCCCTCCTGGCCTTTACGTGCACAGCTCTCCAGAGCAAGCACAGCTTCAATCATAACCAGGCCTTTGGGGACTGGCAATTCAGACTCAACGCTCTCTTGTAGGAGCCCCTGTGAAGACAATAGCAGCACAACCCCACAATAAAGGATGCTGGAGAGGTTAAAACAGAGATATTCTCTCTCTCTCCCCCTCCCCTTCTCCCTTTTCTTCTTCTTCTCTCTCTTTCTCTCTCTCTCTCTTTCTCTCTCTCTCTCTCTCTCTCTCTCTCTCTCTCACACACACACACACACACACACACACACACACACACACACACACACACACACACCCTAAAGGCATGGATATGCCCCCAATGTGTAAAAAAATAATAAAATGAGCTTTCCCATGTAGTCCAGCCTTCCTGATGCACCCCCTCCCCCACTTTCACAAGGTTAAGAAATGTGTCCTTAACTTGTGTTTTCTGTTCTACTTCATGGGCCATAGTAAAGAATGGGGCAGTGCAGCTGTCTTTGTGTGTGTGTGTGTGTGTGTGTGTATGTGTGTGGTACGTCTCACATGGGTGATTCACTTACTTAACAGGGTGAGTGTGTCTATTGCATTTGGACTCACATAATAAAAAAAAGGAAGAAAAAAAAGAAGGGAAGAAAATGAAAATAAAACACTCAAGTGAAATCAATTTAACATACATAACTTTACACATTTTTACCCTCTGCTCTTTAATATTCCAGGATGTGTTGGTGGCATAGCTAAGTTTGAAAAGTTTTATATAAATGAAAGTCACTGAAGCATAAATCACATAGGTCAGTGAAAACTGAGATGTAGGACGGAGATGAAATCTAAAAGCTAATTAAATTCAACCAGAGCCTCTCAAAAGGCAACATACCAGCTTCGCCTCCCATGCTAATATTTCACTTTTGGAGGGTGCAATAAATGGAGAGTCTTTCATGGCTGGGCCTTTCAGGATGTGATCCTTTCGCAAGCCCTGATTGGGGTTGGGGGTGGAGATTAGATGCACGGATTACAGTACTGAATGGATGTCAGGGCCAAGATAAAAAAAAGAGATAAGTCCAGGCTTCTGAGGAGGAACTAAATTTGAAGCCAACCCATAAAACAGATTGAACCCTATTACCTCTAGTTACTGAGAAATCCCCCAGACAGTTGGATGTAATTTGAAAAGGTCAGAAAAATATTTCCTGCTTCATAGTTTAAGGGTATACATTTGTGAGGTGCCAACTCTAATCATTTTTATTGACTTTGCTATACAGAGACAGACAGACAATCAGGGAGGCAAGACTGATGGGTGAGGGAGATAAACTATCTTGGGTCCTCATTCAGAAACGTCTTTGAATGTTTTCAACTTGCAAATTGGGAATACTTTATGTCCTTGCATGGGTTGCAGGAGAAAATCTACTGAGTGCACGAATGGTTTATGGAATCACAAAAGGAGAGCAAGTCATTGGAAAAATCTAGATACAATGGGGAGTTGTCTTTATTGCTACTCCTTGACCATCCAACTACTCTGGGCTATAGATCATTAAGAGAGCGGAGGCAGAGACGAACTAGTATGCTCTTTGGGGAGAAGTGGAAGGGTTCAAACTAAACACAACAAAGGGAAAGGTTTCTGTTCACTATTGCAATATTTCAAGTTCGCTTGGGGTAGATGCCATTTTTGAATAAGAGAACTAGACTGGCTATGGATGGCAGGGGGACGGGCCCTCACTGTAATAAGTTTGATCAGTGACTCGGGTATCAAGTTTTGGTATCCATGGGCTCACTCAAAATATAATGAAAAGGTGTGCTTTTGCGTTTCAATAGGATTTGATTTTGAGGAAAACCTTTGTCAGCAATACATTTACAGTTATTTTTTTTTGTCATGCAATTAAAATCAATGCGGATTTAACAATACAGAGTGATGTTATCCATCCAAACACTGCATTGGTGTAATTAACATTTGACTTTCTTTTCACTAAAGAGTCATTTGTTTGTGAGCCAAACACAAGCTCTTCTCTTGCTACACACACACACACACACACACAGCTGAAACTTTCTTTTTCTTTTAATGGGCATGTGGAGAAGATGTATAAGCTTGTTCTGGGTTCATGGAACTTAAGAGCTTTTCAGAAGCCCAGGCAAGCTATGTGTTTCTATTAGAAAAAGGCTTAGCAATTCTCTGCTTTACAGGATGGCAAGAATTCCAAATCTGCTAATAAGAACCTTGTCCTTTCAAGGACACTAAAAACTGAAAAACTCTCATATCATGTAGTTAACAACAGCACTGCTGCTAAGAAACACAATCCCTACATGACCCATGCAACTTTTTATGATGCCCAATACAGCAAAGATTAGTAGAAAAGACATTCAGTCATCTGAATCTGTCCCCAAATCTGAACCTTTGGCATTAGAACGATGAGACAATTTTACAGTTGAGAGGGAAAGCTTGACAAAAGTAGAGCAAGAATTTACAGAGCACTTACTGTTTGCAAAGCACTTGTTATTATCTCTATTTTGTAAATGAGGAACCTGAGGCTGACAGAGGTTGAGGAACTTGCCCAGGGTCACCCTGCTAATAAGTACCTGAATTAGGATTCAAATTCAGGTCTTCCTGTAGGAGACAATAAACGTAGGAAGATTGGCTGATTTTTCAGGTCTCAGACAGATGTTTGGCACTGGGCTTCTGGTTGAGTGCCTGAAATTTTCTTTTAAAGGAAAATATTGGGAAACATTTTGTTAAAGAATAGGAAAAAATGAATTACTCTACTTTGGTTGTACCTTGTATTTTTTTTTTCAGTCCACTGGAATACCATATAGATGGGAGTAATTTATTAACTGATGCCTCAGTGACCTGAAAGAATTCATTTAAATTCAACAAATATTTGTCATTTCACTGAAAGGTTTTACCATACATACACACACACACACACACACACAAACACATACACACACACACATATACACAGACACATATATACACACACATATACATGTGCCCAGTGCCAAACATCTGGCTGAGACCTGAAGAATCAGCCAATCGCCAATCTACCAACATTTATTGTCTACTACATGTCCAGTGGTATGCTGGCTCTTAGGGATACAGAGACAAAGAATGAAATGATCTATCTCTACTTTCATTGGGAAGTTTACAGAGCACTGGGTCACAGAGTAAGGGAGACCTGAGTTTGAATCCTAATGGCCTCATAGGCAGGAAGATCTGGGTGCAACATCTGCTTCTGATATTGGCTTTGTAACCCGGGGCAAGGCCCATAGAGTAATAAACAGTATAAGTGGAAAATTAGGTATTGAGAAACACACACATAGGGTTTTCCACACCAGGAGAGCACTGGTTCTAGGCTAAGAGGACTTAGATGAAAATCTTGCCTCTGATGCTTACTATTTCTGTGACATTGGACAAATCATTTAAGCACTCTGGACCTCAGTTTTCTCTTCGGTAAAATAAGAGGGTTGGACTGAGTAGCAGCTGTGTTCCCTTCCAGGTCTCAATCTAGGTTGCTAAAGATTGTTGTCTTCCTTGACTTTAACATAGGAAGGGATTTGTCCATAGACATAGAGCCAGTGGGTGGATAAAGCCAGGATTTGAAACTGGGTTTCTGACTTCAAATTCGGCATTTTTCACATTGGACCGTGCAATAGGGTGGCAGTGAAGGATTCTGAGTAAAGGATGAACTACAATAAACCTGTGTGAGTATACAAGGAAGATGAATTTGGCAGCTAGTCTAAATGGCATCTGATGTCCCTTCCAGATCTATGTTCCTATTAATATGATTATTTTGTTCAATGATCTGTTTGGGTTGGCTTTGTTTGAGGCAGAGAGGAGAGAGATCTCCTAGGAACCTGCGGTATTAGTGCATATAAAAGTACCTCAATTAGGGTGGTGGCAGCTAGAATAGTAAGTTGAAGACTAATCTGAAAAACAAATTGAGGAAGATGGAGTAAATGACATCTAGCTCTTGTTCAGTTCTGTCTGACTCTTCATGACCCCATTTGGGGTTTTCTTGGCAAAGACACTGGAGTGGTTTGCCATTTCCTTCACTAGCTCATTTTACAGATGAGGAAACTGAGGCAAACAAGGTTAAGGGACTTGCCCAGGATCATACAGCTAGTAAGTGTCTGAAGCCAGATTTGAAGTTGTGAAGATAAGTTTTCCTGACTCCAGGACCAATGCTCTATCTGTTGTGCTGCTCACTCGCTCATGTCTTCCCGACTTCTCGTACTGGTCACTATGATCCAGTGGTGATGCAGAGCTCCATTTGAAAGGACTCGGTGATTAATGGGCAATGTTGAATGAATAAAAGGGAGAAATGAAAGATGGCTCTATGGTTAGAAACACTGATGCCTGAGGCAATGCGGGGAGGTCCTTAACTCCCTAGAGAAGTCAGGAAGAGTGAAGTCTGAGGGAGAAAGACAAACTTAGTTATAGAAGTTCTAACCTTGACTCCAT